TGCCTGCCTGACGCCTCAGTGGTACCATAGTGGTCTGGGGCTTCATAGTGTGAGATTTCATAACACTTTTAAGCAACTTTTGTTAAAGTTAAACTCATCATTCTATCAATGTGCAGAAGCCTGTACTTTTCCCTTGTTTTGTCTATCTGAAGGCCAAGCTACATGGCACCGTGGAAGCTGCTGATTGGAGGTCTCCATGCCTGCGCTCTGAATAATACACTTGCATTCTCTTGTATCTGTGATCGTGTGATCGTGCTCGTGCTGTCTCTACCATCGACAATAAAACATGTCTTCTGTCTGAATTTAAGACGCGATCCCAGACTTTGTCATCTTCTTCAGGTGGTGGAGAATGCGGGCCTTGTCTGTAACATCTACAGAACAGAAGACTTTTTTTTTTACACAAAAAGTGTTTTTTTTTTTTAAGCCAAAACTGAAAAACCTCAAGAGAATGCATCTGGATCAGCCCATGGACAATCTGCACAGCCCCTGATTCCACTCAGGCTGTGAGCTGCTGAGACATGGACAACACCATCGTCCTCTTTTGCATGGACATCATTTGGAACAATTGGATTACACAATTTGGACATAATTTGGAACAATCTGGATTTCTGAATTTGGACATAATTTGGACTGAATTGAATTGCTGAATCTGGACACTAAAGCTGAAACGTGTGATTGAAAGACACGTCACAGAAGAATTCATGGCTCGACACAAATGCAGCCTGAAGAAATCAACACGGAGAAGTGGGAGAGACTGTTTTCAAAGCAATATCTGGAACCACCATCGACTGATGAAGTTTGGTATTTTACTGAAGATTGTTGACAAGTTTTATGAAAGATCTGAACATGTTTTATGAGTTTTCTGAGTTTTTGAAGTATTCCGAGTTCTGAGTTTTTTGAAGTACCGAGTGAAGTACTGAGTTTAAGTATTGAGTTATGATGTTATGTTGCTGTTTATCGATCCTGATGGTCACACGTGAATGTGTGACCAGAGGGGGGAATGTGAGATTTCATAACACTTTGAAGCAACTTTTGTTAAAGTTAAACTCATCATTCTATCAATGTGCAGAAGCCTGTACTTTTCCCTTGTTTTGTCTATCTGAAGGCCAAGCTACATGGCACCGTGGAAGCTGCTGATTGGAGGTCTCCATGCCTGCGCTCTGAATAATGCACTTGCATTCTCTTGTATCTGTGATCGTGTGATCGTGCTCGTGCTGTCTCTACCATCGACAATAAAACATGTCTTCTGTCTAAATTTAAGACGCGATCCCAGACTTTGTCATCTTCTTCAATAGAAAGGTCAATGTTACAAGTTTGTGCGAGAAGTTCCTACTATGAGTGTGGAAAGAACTCAAAAACAACTCCAGGTCTGCTTTTGATTAGGGAACAATGTTGTAAAATGGGAAGCACGGTGGCTAAAGGCCTGTGTACACTTGCGCGGCGCTGCTTACAGTTGTGGTTACGTTGGACCTACGTAACCACAGTTGGTGGTACACTAGCGCGTTCCCCTTACGGAGTTTTGAAGGGAATGTTGTAGTCCCATTTACGCTGCTTCTTTCTCCTCTTCAGAACAAAAACAATAGCGAAGCTGTTTGAGATCATTACATGTGTTTCTACTGTAGGTTTATGTGACAGTTCTATGGACTTATTATTTCAACTCATTTAACTGTGATGTTGTGAATAAAGACACAGTTCTTGTTGGAAACATAGTTATTATTCAATTGTATTCAGCACAAACAGCAAAACAATAAGTAGAGGCAAAGTAAATATCTGAGACAAACATCAAGTGCAGGAGGAATGCAACAGACGCGATGAGCTACGAGTGCAGATTCAAACAAGACAGGAACAGTGCAAAAGAAACGACTGCACAGTTTATATATATATATATACACTACCGTTCAAAAGTTTGGGGTCACCCAAGTGTTTTCCATGAAAAGTCGCACTTATTCACCACCATACATTGTGAAATGAATAGAAAATAGAGTCAAGACATTGACAAGGTTAGAAATAATGATTTGTATTTGAAATAATATTTGTTTTACAGCCAACTTTGCTTTCGTCAAAGAATCCTCCATTTGCAGCAATTACAACATTGCACCAAAAACCAGACATTTGCAGCTAGAACAGTCATTTACCACATAAGCAATGTATAGAGTGCATTTCTTTACAGTTAAGACTAGTTTAAAGTTATCTACAGTGCTTTTCCTTAAAAAATAAGGACATTTCAATGTGACCCCAAACTTTTGAACGGTAATGTATATAAGTTAGATATGCAACAGAACTTCCTTGCGGCGACCCTTACATAGTTTTAGTTACAAATTTTTGAGGGTGCGCGGCAGGCTACGTAAGGGCCTTGCGGTGATCCATGCGTTGCGCAAGTGACGTCACGTCACCACCATGAGCTCTGCGCCGCGCGACTATACACTAGGCTTAAGTGGATAGCACTCTCGTTTCTCAGGATTCCCGAATCCTGTTCGGAACAGGGCCTTTCTGAGTGGAGTTTGCATGTTCTCCCTGTGTCTGCTTAGGTGTCCTCCGGGTACTTCGGTTTCCCCTACCACTAAAAACATGTACAATAGGTCTGGAGTGAGGGGACAAAGGCCCATAATTGTTAAGCGTTTTGTGACTCTGGTCTGTGAAAGGCGGTATATAAATAAAGATTACTTACTTACTTACTTAAAAGCTCAAAAAAGTAGATTTGGCTTAATATGTCTGTTTTAATATTAAAACCAGAAAACCAAATGTTTATTTCCAATGCCGGGAGAACTGGGCACTACCACTTCAAGCCCCATTGGCTTGTGCTCAGTAGCGCATGTGCCACCATGGGCACCAAAAGATTAGCGGAACCCGTCCATATTTGGGCATTTCTCTGGTCCTCCTGGTTCTGCGCAGTGGACGAGCTCCCATGATGCATGACGCCAAATACTAACAAGGACCCGTGTTTGGCCCTCATGCTCGTGCACAGCTAGATCAGAGCGGAGCTAGAGTGGGAGACAATCGAGCAGAGTTTGTTGCTCTAAAGTGTGGATTTAAAGAAAAACGATGGATTTAAGAAGAAAAAAGTTCAGGATGACAAGAGACACTAAATTCCCCACAAAATCCGACCTTTATGAAAACTGTAGGTTCTCTGTCAGCTGATATCGAGCTGTTTTAGTTTTTCTTTGGGGAAAATTTAAAAAAGCCACATGAATTTAATCTTATTCAGTCTGCGGTACCGCAGGAAGCCCCCGGGTGCGAGGGTCCTTCAGCTATAAGCTAGTAAGACCTTGGATTCTACATCCATGGGAATAACCTTTCCCCTATATTTGTTTGTGGTCTCTTACTACATCACAACCAAATCAAAGATAGTAACGAATAACTGAATGCACATTGTCAAGTTAAGAAAACACTTAATGCTTAAATCTTCTGCTTCATTCTTTGTTTGAATGCCATTTAAAATCTTTTAAGCTCTGTGTGTAGGAGGGGCAGAGGAAGAGGGCACTGGTCTATGTTTGGTCAAATATTCTGTCAAGGCCAAAAGCTGGTAATATTTCATTCCACTGTTGTCCACAGCACTGGCCCTGTGCCACGGCGAAAGATTCTTACTTAAAAAGTGTTTGGTTTTGCTAGTTTTCTAAAATCAATTTGATAAATTAAGCATTGTACAGACGTACAATCCTCTTATCACTTTTCAAAGTAAAAGTGATACAAAATGTTGTTGTTATTTACACACAAAGCTATTTTTAGCGCAATTCATGCATGTTTGAGTTACTTCGATCACTTAGAAGTAATTGGTTCTAGTTGCGAAAAGGTGGCTGAGTGAATAGCACTCTCGCTTCTCAGCAAGAAGGTCATAGGTTCGAATCCCTTTCTGAGATTAGTTTTTGAGGTCTCCCCGTGTCTGCTGGGGTTTCCTCCGGGTGCTCCGGTTTCCCCTACCACTAATAACATGCACAATAGGTATGAATGTAATGAGTGTGTGAATGGATGGTGTTGATTGGAGGCTTGGATTTGCTTGTGTGTTCGGCGTTTCGCTTCATCACCGTTTGGAAAGAATGAAAAATATCTGAGCTCTGAACATTGTAAAGCGCTTTGGGTGACCTTGGTCTGTAAAAATGTGCTATTTAGATATAGATTACTTACTACTTACTTAATATAACTGCATTTGGAAACTTTCTTTTTTGACGTGTGGACAATCCACCCGCCTCACCCGGCCATTGTTGCTCAAAACACAACAAATACAGTATTTACGTTGTAACTTTGTTTCTTCTTCTGTAACATTGTTTTCGCTCAATCTAAACATATCTTTATAAAAACATGGTTGCCTTGGCTGCCCCTGTCCGAACAAATCCCCATATAAGGAAATTGGCTCCAGGTAGCTTATGGTCAAATCGGTTTCTTCCGCATTCGGCAAACACTAGGGGTGACGTCAGCACTCGATCAGTCTACTCTTAACAGTCTGTAGCCATGATTTTACTTTTGCCATGTGTAGTAGACATGTTTATACAGTATGCAGTACAGTTGCTATTTGTTTATCAGAGCCTCTAGTCAAATCCCATAACTCCTGTAGATTACAACTGTTTGTTTATTCCTGCCTGGCCATTCCCATGTCATTAGTGGACAGTCATTAAAATGCCCCGGTCAGTATACCACCATGTGTCCAGTGTGGCCATGCAGTGTGTCTGATTTCTGTTCGGTAGGGCTAAGATGAGGAATTCTTTTTATCTGGTAGTCATGTGGGAGGTTTGGGCGTCATATGAAAAATAAATCCGTAAAATCGTTTTCCTATGTTGTAGCAAGATAAGGATACGGCCAGTTTTTGGTAAAAAGAAAACAAAAGTTAGATATTTTTCCATTTATGTTGAAACAAAGCTCACCACCTTTGTTAAATATAGCCCTGTTTTTCTTAATGTCCTTTTTTAGTCAGTAACTTAACAATTGTTTGAAAGTGTATCTCAAGATGGTCAGATAAAGTAAATTGTTTCTGAAGATTTGAACTTTTCTGTTGTGATGTTTCGTAGGGTAGCCAAGGCAATGAAACTGGCGCTGTACGAAACTCCCACGGGATGGAGGTACTTTGGTAACCTGATGGACTCCGGCCGGTGCTCGCTCTGCGGAGAGGAGAGCTTTGGGACAGGTATGTGCTCCAACCTGTGTTCTCAATCTGTGGTTCAAGGGCCTCGTCATGTGTTTGTCTTGTTTTTTATTTATTTGGATCCCCATTCGCTTGTGGTGGTCGCTAGTCTTCCTGGGGTCCACTCTACACAGGATCTATTCACATTAAAACATTTCAAACATACAGAATAAAAACTATTTACAATACACCGTGAATACACCGTGGCAAGAGCTCTGGTGTGTGCTTTCTTGGTGCACACTGGGGGTAGTCTTGCACAGTTTTTCCACTGTGGTTTTACTGCAAATCTTGAATCTAAACATTTCACATTGTCCTTCAACATTCATATAAGCATTGTTGTTTTATTTTTTTTGTTAAAATATATCCATTATTAGTTTCCCTTGATGCCACAGACAGCTGATTACAAGCAGCTGAGGATCAAAACAAAACTGCTCTCCTCAAACAGCTCGACTTTGGAAAAGAAACATCTAAATCTCGAGAGCTAACCTGCCGAGTCACATGTTGATGGCAATGACCACTGTAAACAAGTTCTTCCACAAAGAAATGTGGATTGTTTTAAGGATGGTGCATAAAGCACTAGAGGCTGATCTTTAACTTTTCCTGTGTTTGTCTATTTCATTGTACGTGTCATGCAGTCCGGCATCACAAACTGCCATAATCATAAAGGCCAGTGTATTGTGTTTTTGAATCTTAAATGAGGCCCTGATATTTGATTATAGAGATAAACTTTAATCACAAGAGTACGGGGGTCCAGGGTCCTCTGCTGAGGGCTGTTCGGTCACAGCCAGGGGCCGGAGGGGGTCCGGTTCGGGGACCACAGGATTTCATCTCTGCTGTTTGCAGACGATGTTGTCCTGTTGGCTCCAACAAACCAGGACCTGCAACATGCACTGGGGCGGTTTGCAGCCGAGTGTGAAGCGGCTGGGATGAGAATCAGCACCTCCAAATCCGAGGCCTTGCCCTCTCCAGGTGGGTGGAGAGGTCCTTCCTCAAGTGGAGGAGAATTCAAGTATCTCGGGGTCTTGTTCATGAGTGACGGAAGGATGGACAGGCGGATCGGTGCAGCGTGTGCAGTGATGCGGTCGCTGTATCGGACCGTTGTGGTAAAGAGGGAGCTGAGCCGAAAGGCGAAGCTCTCGATTTACCGGTCAATCTTAGTTCCCTCCCTCACCTATGGTCATGAGCTGTGGGTAATGACCGAAAGAACGAGATCGCGGATACAAGCAGTCGAAATGAGCTTCCTCCGCAGAGTGGCTGGGCGCTCCCTTAGAGATAGGGTGAGGAGCTCAGTCACACGGGAGGAGCTCGGAGTAGAGCCGCTGCTTCTCCACGAGCGGAACCAGTTGAACCAGTACACGTTGGAGGGACTATGTTCCTCAGCTGGCCTGGGAACGCCTTGGGGTCCCCCCAAATGAGCTGGAGGAAGTGTGTGGGGATCGGGAAGTCTGGGCGTCTCTGCTTAGACTGCTGCCCCCGCGACCCGGCAACGGATGAAGTGGAAGAAAATGGATGGATGGATGGGTTTTTAGATGTGATTGAATTAATTAGGCATAAATTAAAAAATTATAAACGAGGACTATGCCATGTACATTGTTTACTTCTGCCATGGGTAATGTAAGAACCAGGGTTTGTTAGTTAGTTAGTGACTGAAAGTGTGCAGTTTGACAAAAAATTAAATTTTCAGTAAAACAAGGAAATGGAACAAATGTCTACATTATGGAGGCAAATCTGTCTGAATCCAGGATTTGTTTTATGGGGCAGGTCTACACTCTGAGCATGCTTGCGTTTATTGAAAGTCATTATCCAAACAGAAAATGAACACAGTGGTTCTCTAAGGTGTTTTCCCATCCCCATTTTCTTTACTTGAATTTATTTCAAGCTGGAGTACACCCATACAGAAATATTGACAAAGTAACGAAATGTTGCAATAAAATGCATGTTAGTAGATCCTACCTCTATAAACTGTTTTCTTCTATCACTAGTTTTCACACACATGTATTTTTGACCTCTGTCACAGCTTTTATATCAGCTTTTGCATTGAAAAAGAGAGGCGATGTTGAGGTCTGATTTGTTCACTAAAAGTTTTGTAAACAAGATGTAAATGTATTCATGAAACATTACGAAAGGTTCTCCTGTTTTAATTCAGGCTCTCATAGTGTGTGTTGTTTGTTAATGGCCTCGGATGCTTCATTCTCATTGATCTTTACTTGTAATAATGAAGAGCGATGGGACTTAGGATTGTTTAATTAAAGCAATCAAAAAGTACATCAACAACAAGATCAGGAATGTCTTTGGTGATTTTTAATCTTTTGTTGTAGTTACTGTGTAATTTATTCCTGCTTTGTGTCATACTGAACCTCAACCAAAACGGTTCGAGCACTTTGTCTAAATACTGTTATCAAAAATCTCTGTCAGTGTTTCCCACTACTAATTCAAATATAAAATTAAATTCCCTAAAGCATTTGGAGAGTCTTATCCTTTAAAGGCCAGGCTGTGGCTGCTGCTTGCCGTTGCTCAATAGTTGTGTCTGGGAGTCTCCAGAGCTGCATCCTCGGCTTCGCTGGAGCTGATAGATGTGGGGGCTGTGACCCTGACTGCAGTGTGTAAATAATCCCCATTCTTCTGCTATAAAAGGAGACGAGCTCCTTAATCACCGCAGCACACACCAGCCTCCTGCGGCAGCGCACTCACACTCACAAAGATAAAAAAAACTACGCTTAAGTCCAATGAAAAGACTGATACAGACGAGAAATACATAGGACAAAATGGTGTGCGTTTAGCTTTTGAAAGTTTTATCTTGGCTTCCCATTTAAGGGTAAAAAACATCAAGCACACATGGTTGTTGACGTATTAGTCTACACCAGGCATGTCCAAACAAAGGCCCGGGGGTCAGTTTGGCCCACTGTGTTGTTCTTTTGTGGCCCTCTGCTTTGCTAACCCAAAGAACTGGGAGGCCTGACTCACTGTGTGTATGTGTAGAGTCTGTGTGTTCTGCTTTGAGATAATGCTGCAAATTAATTGCCTTTTGGAGGGTCTGGAGGTGGAATTGAAACACAATCGAAAACCACTGTGCCACCCATGGCTGTATGCATGATTGACAAATAAACCTACTGCATGTGCATAATAGCAACATGCAGAAAATACCGTAACCCTAACTGGGAATTTACCATGGATCTATAATAATAACTGGATAGGGTATTACTAGCTTGGAGCTGTCCCACCCATGGGCACAGGGGGCGCCTGTGGTACTGCAAACTAAAATCATGTGGGCTACCCAAAAAAAAGTCCCATAGAACTCAATGTAAATTAAAACAGCTCGACCTCAGCTGACAGAGAACCTACAGCTTTCAGAAATGTCGGATTTTGTGGGGATTTTAGTGTCCCTTGTCATCCTGAACTTTTTTTCTTCTTAAATCCCTCAGTTTTATTTAAATCCACACTTTTCTGCCACAAACTCTGTTCCTTTCCTTCCCGCTCTGACTCCGCTCTGCTGCTGTTCTGATGAGCAGCGCTGATTGGTCAGAGCGCGCCCGAGCCCCTCTGTGCACTTGCGTGAGAGCCACACACACACGTTTGGTGCAACGCATGATGGGAGCTTGTTCACTGCGCAGAACCGGGAGGACCAGACGATGCCCAATTATAAGCAAGTTCTGCCAATCTCCCGTTCTCCGTGCGCTACTGAGCATAAGCCATTCATTTGAATAGGGCGCCATCTTGGATCACCGGGGCTTGGAATTTACACAGTGGGCGTTAACAGCGCGTACGCGTTGTCTGTGCGCGTAACATTATTTGGCTGTATGTACACTGGCCGTGCGCGCAGATCCGCGGCTTCTGATGGTCTCCCTGTGTAGTCTATGGAGCAGTGTAGAGGACAGTACGGGCCAGAGGACTGATGTAGAGCAACACAAATCACATGCATGTGTTTGTCTTGCATGTGTTTGTGCGCTGGTTTGGCCAGACGCAAGACTTTATGTAAGAATAAAAACAATGTCCAGAATCACTATAAAACTTGCCAGTCCTCCTGCTAATGTTTAAATACAAGTGCTGTGTGTGTGTAGATGCGATCTAAAGCCAAGGGCCGTTAGAAAAATCATCCTAAATTAGGCGCAGCCTTGCATCATACGTCCGTCATACGCGCGTATAACACTAGCAGTGTAAATATCCCCATTGGTTTACATGTAAAAAATGTATGCGCGTCTGCTGCTGTGTAAATTAGCAGTAACCCTAACTGTATGAAAAACAGCAAACAACTTAAGGCTTTGAAGGATAATCCTACAACTGTTGAATTTGGAGAAAGCAAAGATGTAGGTGTAAATTCTGCTTTGAACTAGGCAGTAACAAATCGAACTTAAAAACTAAATTGTTGAAAGCATCCACACATGGTTATTCATATGCTTTTCATCATTTACGCAATCTGTAAACTGGTAATACTTATTTCATTCATTCATTCATTTTCAACCCCTTTATTAGTCCATTTCTGGGTCGGGGGGGTGGCAATGAGAGCTGCCACCCAATGCTCATAGCACCAGTCCCTCGCTGATCTTCTGCAGGGGGTGAGTCCACAGGAAGATGGCTGACGACCTGATGGCAGACGACCTGATTCTGGGTCAGGGTTTCGTACGTAATACTTATTTATTGACCTTTATTTAACCAGGTCCCACAAAGATTTCAGAACTATTGTACATTGTATTTCCAATTAATTTAAAGTGTATTACTTTTGCACATCATAAATATTAATGAATGATTGACAATTGGGAGGAGCAATAGTCTTGATGATCCACCCGGAAGTAGAAAATCCTCCTTTATACCTTCAATTTTACAATACAACCATCAAATTAATGTACATTTTATTTTGACTGCCTTATAATATATCAGATCAGAACTTTTGACACCTATATATATCATGATCAGTCACACATGGTGGGCCACAGATTTATCCACTGCTGTTTTTCCTCATTTTGATGCTTGGAAAGGGTAGAACATAATTATAGAACAGAAGTAAT